TTAAGGACACCAACAATAGAGAGATAACTGCTTTACACTAGTCGGAACTGAGCCAAATCATTATCTCGGTTACGAATTGCTGCAGGCTACGAGTTTTCGATTCAAGAAAATTTAATTATGTATATCTTACACTTCCTCATGTTCGTGGAGCAGGAGATTAATGCGAGATTTGAGCAAATATTGCTTTATTGAAATTGTAATACGGGAACTGGATACGGTTGAGGCGCCGAAAATGAAAATTTTGCTGGTATTATATAAAAAAATTCGGAGGGATAATGATATTCTGTATATATTTTCCGCTCACACACCACACACAATAACACAAATAATGCGTATTTTGTAAAAAGTTTCTATATTTACATTTAATTAATATTAATAAATTTAATCATTCACTCTCGAACTGAAAAAGTGAGATTATGTAACGACGATGACCACATAAACAATTATCCAACAACTGAATACTTCAAATTGAGTAAGCAACGACCACATAATACAGCTAGTGCGGTCCTGTTTTCTATCACCATCTAGACACAACAAATAAGGAAATTGACCTGAATTGATCACATTATACCCACAAAAACGTCCCTTTTAACTAAAATTTTCGACTTCGTTTCGTCTAAAATTTCTACCGTTTTTCGAAAATCACCAATTGAAATATAGCAATTCTTACAGTTCCAGTAGCAAGTAGTATGACAAAAAATTTACAATTAACTTTTTTTAAACTTTTTTCATATCCTAGATTTTATTAATTTCCACTACCACTCAATAGGAGATAATAATTAGCCCCGCCCACCCACCCTGCCCTCAAATTTATGAGTGTTTTTGAAGAAAAAATTGAGAATGAATCAATCAAATTAATCGATCAACCCTTTCGTCTTCGTTGGGGACAAAAAATCAACCAAATTTCATTTTCTTTTAATCGCTGGTGTTTGTTTGCATAAACAGTCGAAGTTAAGCACATACTAAAAAATTGAGAATGTTTACATTTTTTCCCGTTAGTTATCATCTTTAAATATATTTCATATTTAAAGACGTAGGGGTTGCGATGATGTTAATTACGCCACTTTGTAGAGATCAACAGTTATCACAAAACGGAAGACGAGGAATTTCTCGAACCATATTTCAAAGTCGAGGGAAGTTCTGTCAAAATAACCTTCCACAATTTTTTTTTACTAGCTTTGTTTTTCTTGATACTGTCATCAAAATTCCGAAAACATCATTTTGTCGCCAGCAAAACTGAAAATAATAATAGTATTAATAGTACCCAAACAACCTCTGTATACAATACCACAAGGCCCCATTCTGTAAATTTCCCGGTGGATCCTCATGTCCTCAATACGACACTGGTGTTAACTAACAATTTTTCTGGTTTTTCTTGACGATAACTGGAAAAAGTCATTTTCGACTATGCTTCTTCGAAAATTTCTGTCGTTCTTCCAAAATCGACAATTGAAATGTAGCAATTTCAACAGTTCCAGTAGCAAATAGTATAACAAAAAATCTACGATTAGCGGTTGTTTTTATTTTTTTTTACATCCTAGATTCTATTAGTTTCCACTCCCACTCCAGAGAAAACATAATTAGCCCCGCCCACCCACCCTGCCTTTATTTCAATGATTAATTTTATTCGGTCTGAATAAAAGGAGTGATCTTATACTGAGCAGAAATAAAATTAGTTCTTAGGATGAGAAGACTGGAGATGGGCGGGGCTAGCACTTGATAAGACTGTTTTTGGCAAATGACATATCTGCCAAGAGAATAGAGGGCGGGTGGGCGGGGCTAGCATTATATAAGATATGACTGATTTTGACACTTGACATTTTCGACAATTTTTCAACTACTTATGAAAATTATCTAGACACTTGCTGGTAGATTTCGACATCTAGAAGTCATTTTCGATTTCGTTTCGTCTAAAATTTCTACCGTTCGTCGAAAATCGCCAACTGAAATATAGCAGTTTTTACAGTTCCAGTAGCAAATTAAATAACAAAAAATTTACGATTGGTGCCCTTTTTTTTATTTTTTTCACATCCTAGATTCTATTAATTTCCACTACCACTCCATAGGAGAACATAGTTAGCCCCGCCCACCCACCCTGCCTTCATTTCGGTGATTAATTTTATTCGATTTGAATAAAATGAATGATTCTATACGAGCAGAAATAAAATTAGTTCTTAGAATGAGAAGACTGAGGATGGGTGGAGCTACTTGCTAAGATAAAACTGATTTTGGCAAATGACATACTCTCCAAGAAAATAGAGGGCGGGTGGGCGGGGCTACTACTTGATAAGATAAGACTGTATTTGGCAAATGACATATCTGCCAAGAAAATAGAGGGCGGGTGGGGGGGGCTACCATTTTATAAAATATGACTGATTCTTACACTTTTGACATTTCCGACAATGCTTCTTCAAAAATTTCTGTCGTTCTTCCAAAATCGACCATTGAAATGTAGCAATTTCTACAGTTCCAGTAGCAAATAGTATAACAAAAAACCTACAATTAGCGTTTTTTTTATTTTTTTCACATCCTAGATTCTATTAGTTTCCACTCCCACTTCATAGAAGAACATAATTAGCCCCGCCCACCCACCCTGCCTTCATTTCACTGATTAATTTTATTCGGTCTGAATAAAAGGAGTGACCTTATATTGAACAGAAATAAAATTAGTTCTTAGGATGAGAAGACTGGGGATGGGCGGAGCTAGTACTTGATAAGATAAGACTGTTTTTGGCAAATGACATATCTGCCAAGAGAATACAGGGCGGGTGGGCGGGGCTAGCATTTAATAAGATATGACTAATTTTGACACTTTTGACATTTTCGATCATTTTTCAACTATTGTTGAAAATTAGCTAGACACTTTCTGGTAGATTTCAACATCCAGAAGTCATTTTCGACTTCGTTTCATTGAAAATTTCTGTCGTTCTTTCAAAATCGCCAACTGAATTATAGCAATTTTTACAGTTCTGGTAGCAAATACTATAACAAAACATTTACGATTGGCGCTTTTTTACTTTTTTCACATCCTAGATTCTATTATTTTCACTACCACTACATGGGAGAATATAATTAAATCCGCCCACCCACCCTGCCTTCATTTCGGTGATTAATTTTATTCGATTTGAATAAAATGAATGATCTTATACGAGCAGAAATAAAATTAGTTCTTGGAATGAGAAGACTGAGGATGGGTGGAGCTACTTGCTAAGATAAAACTGATTTCGGCAAATGACATACTCTCCAAGAAAATAGAGGGCGGGTGGGCGGGGCTACTACTTGATAAGATAAGACTGTATTTGGCAAATGACATATCTGCCAAGAGAATAGAGGGCGGGTGGGCGGGGCTAGCATTTTATAAGATATGACTGATTCTTACACTTTTGACATTTTCCACTTGGTTTCATCGAAAATTTCTGTCGTTCTTTCAAAATCGCCTACTGAAATATAGCAATTTTTACAGTTCCAGTAGCAAATAGTATAACAAAAAACTTACGATTAGCGCTTTTTTTACTTTTTTTAAATCCTAGATTCTATTAGTTTCCACCCATTTTTTTTTTTCGAAATTTCACTACTTTGTATTGGGTATCAGAAATCGATTGGACTCTCATTTTATAACACAAAAAAAACTTTAAAATTGTTTAGAATGAATTTGACGAAAGTGGGTAAATTTTCTAAATCTGTCTAAATCAATGTTTTTGTAAGTGAACGTCAAATTGACGAAAGAATTTTTTTTATGATTTTGCTCGAATTTAGGATTGCGAATTTAATCATATGTCATTGAGTTGGTGCGTAATTTTTTGAAAAATAATATTGCGAAACAATATATAGGTACCTCAGGATATATATTTTTTCGCAATATTATTTTCGACATGTATTTTCTAATTTATTGATCTATATGTAAATTTCGTTTATTTATAAGTCTTGTTTTTTGTTTTGTTTCGGTTTATTTTATCAAATTTATTCTGTTTAAGAATATCTATTTCGAACGTTTATGGTTTTATGACTCCAAATGATTAAAGAAGAGTATGAATTAATCAATCAGTCCTTTCCTCTACGTTGAAGGCACAAAATTAACCAATCGCTGATGTTTATGCTGGTAGTCGAATTCGGTCGAAGTACAAACATAAACATTCGAAGTTAAGCATATACTAAGAAATTGAGAATGTATACATTTTTCCCGTTAGTTATCTGCTTTAAATATATTTCATATTTAAAAACGCAGGGGTTGCGGTGACGTTAATTACGCCACTTTATGGAGGTTAACAGTTATCACAAAACGAAAATCTCAGAGTCTACTTTTATAATTTTTCAAAATAACATCATTTTTTTAAAACGCCTATATCGCCATGGACCCCCGTGTCCCCAATCCGACACTGCCGGGCTTCCAAAATCGCAAATACGACCCTGTCCCCCAACACCCTTCAGACACCACAAATACCCAAATTTACGTAAATTAACACATTATGCACACAAAAACGTCCTTTTTAACTAAAATTACCACTAATGGACTTACCTTGGACCTCGAAGCTGCCGCCACCGCCACCACCTAAAACCATTACCCGCCGCCACTAAAGTACCGCCCCCGCCCCCAAAAACATGTTCTGTTGGCTAAAGAAGCACCGTTTACCACCCACTAACCCACTTTTTCTCAGTTTAAAGCAAATTTCCACGGAATTTTCACAAATCTAATGTGAACATTTTTACCGCCTGCATGTTTTCGTGACGTCACGAGCGTCCAATCTGATTGGTCGACGGGCCGGCGGTGGTATCTGGATAAATAAAAATCAGAAATTAACGGGGGCCATCACTGATTGAAATTGCACCGCCGCCGCCACCAAGGTAGCGACCCGCCCCCAACAACGTGTTGTGTGAATCACAGGAGTAATATTCGCCACCACCAACCCACTTTTTCACACCTTGGATTGAAAATTTTTAGCGCGTTTTGTTTTCGTGACGTCACAGCAACTATTTGACAGTTCGACAACAAAAATCGAAAATTAGCAACAAATTAAATTGGAAAAAAGCACCATTGCAGAAAACTAAACGAGCTTCTAGTTCTACAATTCAAAAATAGTTTATTTTGTTAGAAGAAACCTGAGTGTAGTTACAATTGTGGCCACCAGAGGGCTACTGTGATAGAGGCAAAACATAACCACACTTTTTGCAGAAGGTAAATATTTTTGTTGTACACGATGTCTGGAGCTAGAGCCTTGCCCCAAAGCAAAGAAGCGCTCCTCAAGTCCTACCGGACGCGCCTGAAGGACGATGTTAAGAGCATGTTGGAGAACTTTGAAGGTAATGTCAAATTGGAGCCCCCTTTTTTTTGAAAAGCCCGTTTTAGAGATTGTTAAGCTCGCTAAAGGTGAACACGACACACAGCTGTCTCGGATGACCCAGTGCGAGCAAGACACCTACGAAATGCACGTTCGAGCGGCTAATATAGTGCGAGCTGGGGAGTCTTTAATGAAACTAGTCTCAGACATCAAACAGTACCTGATTTTGAACGATTTCCCGTCTGTGAATGAAGCGATCACGCAAAACTCGAAGCTCTTCAGGTAATTTAACTAGAATGAAACCGCGTTTGAGTCAATTATTATTATTTGTAGGACAAAGCAGGCTGAATGTGACCAAAAACTGATGTCTTTGAGGGACGACATGGCCGCGGATTTGTACGACCTTGAAGAAGAGTATTACAGTAGTTTGAATAAATAGTTTATTGAAATTGTAACGAAGTTTACATTTGTTGGGTTAACAGAAGATGGGGGACTCTTTCTTTTCGGTGATGAACTTGTGGAAGTTGTCGGTGGGTGGTGGATGGTTGTGGAGGAGGCTGGTCCGGTTGATCCTCCCGTTCAGGTCAGTGACGCAGCGCGCCCTACACTTGCTTTTGTAGTAGAAAGCGCACACCCAGAAAATCCGGGTGGGGACCCTCTGGTTCTGGTAAAACAGGTGCTCTTTGAATATCATGCAGCGTCTGCCCCGGCGCGTCTTGGAAAATCTGGGCAGATCTACAAAGCAAAGCGTGTTAGATCTGGTTTAAATTTAAAACAACTAGAATGAAATTTTGGTTTTTCAATAAATCTGACTGTTGGGAGTAAAAATTTATTAATGTACATAAGACTAAGTTTTGTCGCTTTCTTCTGTTTTCTTTTGTTGTTTACACACGTCTGCAATTTTTCGCGCTATGTACATGTGGGTTTTTTCCAGTTCGTATTCTACGTCGTTCTGTGGCATCCCTTTGGATTCCAAGTAGTGTCTATAGATGTCTGCAACACTTTTACTATGACCACGTCTAAATTTCGTCAGACTACTCACCTTTAACAGCTCGCAGCTTTGTGGGGTCCAGCTGAGGTTTTATCGTTTTAGTTCTATTACAGAACTTTCCGGTAACAGAACACTTGGCTAAAGTTTCATACCCAAATATGGCGGCAGAGACACTCCGAACAAATTGTTGACCAGACTTAGACTGACTGACTATAGTATCGTACATCGGTATCGGGAGAAAAACCCCTCGTCCAACATGAACCTAGAAAAAATGTTGAAACTTTTTTCCACGAGTACGAAAAACCACCTCTTTGTCTCCTCTGTGGCCAATCGCTAAATTTTTGGCACGCTTAAAATTTCTGCATTTACGTTTCAGGCGCCTTTGCTTCAGCTGCGCCCTCAATTTCCTATTCTCGGCCCGAATTTTCGCCATCATCCTCCGCGCCTTTGTTTGCTAAAATTACATTCTTTGACGACAAAACTCAAACCCCAAAACAAGTCAATGCACGACAGCTTAAAGTCATTTATAACACTAGAGTTACTGCACTTTTTTGCGCAGCTGCTTTAGAAACGGCACGAGTTTCGCCTTGGGCGGTGCCATAAAGTTTCTTTTTCGCATGGCGTAGATGATCCCGTTGGGTTTTTGGACCCCCTCGTCAAACAACTTTTTCACTATGGCTTTGGTTTCGTCGCTCAGGCCGCGTTGACCCGTGTCGTGGTTGTCGTGCTCGCACTCGGTGGAGTACATGGAGACGTTGGAGCTGGACACGTGGTACAAGAGATAGACGGCCGCCGGACACTCTTTTTTGCGGTATTTGGCTTTAGTGCACCGAAAAACGACTTTGTCGCCGTCGAGGGTCTTTTTTAAGGAGGTGCGTTTCCAGCAGCCGTCGGCGTGAATTCGCTGCTCGGCTTGGTCTCGGGATGGGAATTCGGCGATTTTTAGCCAGTGGCGGTTGGCGGGGCGGTGTTTACGGACGAATAGTTTTGGGTCGAGGTTGTAGTCGAGGGTCTACAAAGTTTTGAATTCTAGATTGGAATTACCAAGTGGAAGCTATTCGCCCGACTAAATTTAAATTTAGTTGTCGTGCATTGACTAATTTTGACGCTACAACACTCTGTCTGGACTGTCAGGCGAACAGTTTCCACATGGTGTTGTGCGTAAAAGTTGGCATACCTGTGAAACCGACTCTGGAACTATATTGTCCTCATCTTCGATTTTAACATCTTCGGTCAGAAACCCTGAAATAAATCCAGTTTTTAATTGAACTACAATATAGATAAACACAAGATCTACATGACCAAATACATATCTACAAATCTCGCTTCTTTGAAAAAGTAGAAAATGTTTTGAGACTTTTGTTTTTTGATAACCTCTATAATGTTTATTAACGGTTAATATATCTTTACATTGATTTATACCTAAAATTACTTATAAATAGACAAATATTAAAAAGAAAAACAAACAAACGAAAAAACAAGAACACTTAATCCTAACATTCATTTGTTTTTTTTCGCCAGTTGTTCAGCTTTCCAACTTTTGAATTTGTGAATTTTTAGATTTTGCAATTTGTCCATTTAGAATTTCTGGAATTTTAAATTTTTCGATCCTTTAATTTTTCAGTTCTCCAAATTTTGCGTTGCAATTTTTCGTATTTTATTAATTTTTTTCAAACTTTTAGATTTTTCAGTTTCATAATTTTTCCATTTTTCCTTTCGTCAATTTTTGATTTGCAATTTTTCATTTTCCAATTATACGATTTTAGAATTTTCAATTTTCGGATTTTAAAACATTCTCATTTACTCCACTTTTCAATTTTTCATTTTTTTATTTGCTTTATTTTTACAATTTTTCGATTTTTCAATATTCCGATCTTATAATTTTTAATTTTTTCAATTTTTCATTTTTTTTTTGTTTCTTCAATCATTGTTAAATTTTCCAGTTTTTCGATTTTCCAACTTTTGGATGTTTCAATTTTTAGATTTTGCAATTTCATGAGTTTTTAATTTTTCAATCTTTCGATTAACAGTTTCTCGTTTCGGTTTTTATTTTCTTCATTTTTCAATTTTTCAACTTCAGACTTTTCAATTTTTCGTTTTTTCCGTTTTATATTTTTCAGTTTCTTGATTTTTCAATTTTTCATTATTTCAACTTTGTATCTAATAATAATTATAATTTAAAAAAAAATTCACTTTTTCAATTTTACCGTTTTTCAATAATTCCATTTTTCAATTATTGGATTTTTTCATTCGGTTTTTCAATTTTACGATTTTTAATTTTTGAATTTCTGGACATTTAATTTTTCAATTTTTCGATCTTCCAATGTTTGAATTTTTCTACTTTACAATTTTGACGCCATTAATTTTTCGGTTTTATAATGTTTGGGTTTTCCAATTTTCCCATTTAGGCGTTGTTTTTTTTCGAATTTTCAACTTCAGGCTTTTTAATTTTTCATTTTATATTTTTCAGTTTCTTAATTTTTCAATTTTTCGTTATTTCAACTTTGATTTGCAATTTTTCAAGTTTTCAATTCAAATATGTAATATTTTATAATTTTTTCACTTTTTTCAATTTTTCCATGTTTCAATTATTTATTATTGTTATGTTATTATTATTATTATTTTTAAAACTATTTCATTCGGTTTTTCAATTTTGCGATTTTTAATTTTTGAATTTCTGGATTTATTTAATTTTTCAGTTTTCCGATTTTTCAATGTTACAATTTTTCGATTTCATAATTTTTGGGTTTTCCAATTTTTCCATTTTATCGTTTTGTCATTTTTCCGATTTTTCAACTTTTCGCATTAAAAAAAAAATGGAAAAATTGCAAAATTGTAAAATCAAAAATGAAAAAACGAAGAAGTATAAAAAGAAATGTTTGAAAAATCTAAAAATTGGGAATCAAGAATTTAAAAAATTGATGAATCGAAAAATTAAAAATGGAGCAACTTAAAAATCGAAAAAGTGCAAAATCGGAAAATTTTGACGCTATTAATTTTTCAGTTTTATAATTTTTGGGTTTTCCAATTTTTCCATTTATTCGTTGTTTTTTTTTTTCGAATTTTCAACTTCAGGATTTTTCATTTTATATTTTTCAGTTTCTTAATTTTTCGATTTTTCGTTATTTCAACTTTGATTTGCAATTTTTCTAGTTTTCAATTCAAATATGTAATATTTTATAATTTTTTCACTTTTTTCAATTTTTCCATGTTTCAATTATTTATTATTGTTATGTTTTTATTATTATTTTTAAAACTCTTTCATTCGGTTTTTCAATTTTGCAATTTTTAATTATTGAATTTCTGGATTTATTTAATTTTTCAGTTTTTCGATTTTTCAATGTTACAATTTTTCGATTTCATAATTTTTGGGTTTTCCAATTTTTCCATTCATTGATTGATTTTCTTAGTCTTTGAATTTTGCAATTTATCGTTTTGTCAATTTTTCATTTTTTCATTTTTTTTTGTTTCTTCAATTTGCGACATAAAACTCCCCAAGTTTTCATTGTTAAATTTTCCAGTTTTTCGATTTTCCAACTTTTGGATGTTTAAATTTTTAGATTTTGCGATTTCATGAGTTTTTAATTTTTCAATTTTTCGATTAACAGTTTCTCGTTTCGGTTTTTATTTTCTTCATTCTTCAATTTTTCGGTTTTTCAACTTCAAACTTTTCAATTTTTCGTTTTTTCCGTTTTATATTTTCCAGTTTCTTAATTTTTCAATTTTTCGTTATTTCAACTTTGATTTGCAATTTTCCGAGTTTTCATTTCAAATATGTATCTAATAACAATTATAATTTTAAAAAATTTTCACTTTCAATTTTACGATTTTTAATTTTTGAATTTCTGGACATTTAATTTTTCAATTTTTCGATCTTCCAATGTTTGAATTTTTCGACTTTACAATTTTGACGCTATTAATTTTTCGGTTTTATAATGTTTGGGTTTTCCAATTTTCCCATTTATTCGTTATTTTTTGTCGAATTTTCAACTTCAGGCTTTTTAATTTTTCATTTTATATTTTTCAGTTTCTTAAATTTTCAATTTTTCGTTATTTTAAACTTTGATTTGCAATTTTTCTAGTTTTCAATTCAAATATGTAATATTTTATAATTTTTTCACTTTTTTCAATTTTTCCATGTTTCAATTATTTATTATTGTTATTATTATTATTTTTAAAACTCTTTCATTCGGTTTTTCAATTTTGCGATTTTTAATTTTTGAATTTCTGGATTTATTTAATTTTTCAGTTTTTCGATTTTTCAATGTTACAATTTTTCGATTTAATAATTTTTGGGTTTTTCAATTTTTCCATTCATTGATTGATTTTCTTAGTCTTTGAATTTTCCAATTTATCGTTTTATCATTTTTTCGATTTTGCAAAATTGTAAAATCAAAAATGAAAAAACGAAGAAGTATAAAAAGAAATGTTTGAAAAATCTAAAAATTGGAAATCAAGAATTTAAAAAATGGAAAATCGAGGAATTGAAAAATCGAGATTGAAAATTTGGAAAATTGATTAAACGAAAAATTATAAAATGGAAAAAATCATTGAAAAAAATAAAGGAAATGAAAAAACGAAAAACTGTGATATAAAATCAAGAAAATAAAAATTAAAAAATCGGGAAAATGAAAAATAAAAAATTGGGAAACTGAAAAATTGCAAATTGAAAACTTGAGAAAATGAAAGTTGAAAAACAAAAAATTATGAAACAAAAATATTGAAAACTGGAAAAATTTAAAAACTAAAATCGAGGGATTGAAAAATCATAGATTGAAAATTTGGAAAACTATAAAATGGCAAGAAATATTGAAAAAATAAAGGGAATGAAATAACGAAAAATTGTGATATAAAATCGAGAAAATGGAAATTAAAAAAATCGGGAAAATGAAAAATAAAAAACAAGAACTTGAAAAATTGACGAAAGGAAAAATTGAAAAATCGAAAGATTAACAACTGATAAACCGAAAAATCGAAAAATCCCAAATTAACATCGAAAAATTGAAAAATTTGAAAGTCGAGAAATTGAAAAACTAGGGAAACGAAAAATAAAAAATTGGGAAACTGAAAAATCGAAAAATGAAAAACTGTAATAGCGAAAAACTGAAAAATTTGGGTTTTCCAATTTTTCCATTTATTCGTTGTTTTTTTTCGATTTTCAACTTCAGGCTTTTTCATTTTTCATTTTATATTTTTCAGTTTCTTAATTTTTCAATTTTTCGTTATTTCAACTTTGATTTGCAATTTTTCTAGTTTTTAATTCAAATATGTAATATTTTATAATTTAAAAATTTTTTCACTTTTTTCAATTTTACCATTTTTCAATTTTTCCATGTTTCAATTATTTATTATTGTTATTATTATTTTTAAAAGTCTTTCATTCGGTTTTTCAATTTTGCGATTTTTAATTTTTGAATTTCTGGATATATTTAATTT